TTTATTTATTTATTTATTTTGAGACAGAGTCTCACTCTGTCACCCAGGCTGGAGTGCAGTGGTGTGATCTCGGCTCACTGCAAGCTCCACCTCCTGGGTTCACGCCATTCTCCTGCTTCAGCCTCCCGAGTAGCTGGGACTACAGGTGCCTGCCACCATGCCCGGCTAATTTTTTATATTTTTAGTAGAGACTGGGTTTCACCGAGTTAGTCAGGATGGTCTTGATCTCCTGACCTCATGATCCGCCTGCCTTGGCCTCTCAAAGTGCTGGGATTACAGGCGTGAGCCACCGCGCCTGGCCAAATTTTTTCATTTTTTAAGAGACAGGGTCTCGCTCTGTTGCCCGGGATGGAGTGCAGTCGCACAATCTCGGCTCACTGCAACCTCCACCTCCCGAGTTCAAGCAATTCTCCTGCCTCAGCCTCCCAAGTAGCTGGGACTCTAGGTGCCCATGACCACGCCCGGCTAATTTTTGTATTTTTAGTAGAGATGGGGTTTCACCGTGTTGGCCAGGCTGGTCTTGAACTCCTGATCTCAGGTGATCTACCTGCCTCAGCCTCCCAAAGTGCTGGGATTACAGGTGTGAGCCACCGCACCTGGCCTGCAGTACTTTTGAACATCAATGCCACACAGTATGATACTGACATGAAATTAGAGCCAGGAAAGATGAGTGTGGGTTGGAGGACAAATGGAAGGGTTTGTGGAGAAAGTGCGGCTTGGATTGGGGTCTGGAGGATGAGGCCATTAGGGGAAGAGCTAAAAAGGAACCTAGGTGTCCTTATCAGAAACCATGGCCCAGACAAAGGCAAGGAGGGAGGAAGCAGTGGGGCAGACATGGGGGATGGGGAGTGGGCAGGATTACCCGAGGGCAGGTGTGTGCAGGGGAGCAGTGGGGAGACAGCCTGGACATGGGAGGCTTTGGACCTGACCCTCCCTCGCAGTAGGGGGCGGTTGGCAGATGCTGAGCAGGTGAGTTGCAGGACTAGAGAGTGATGTTGGGAAGGTCACCCAGCAGTGTGTGTTGGAAGGATGGGTGTGAGAGGCATCAGCAGTGGATATGATTATTCAGGAGATGAGCAGGGCCCAGAGGACAGTGGAGACACCAATGAGGTGGCGCACAGTGGGAAGGACATAGCCTCCACTGGACACACCTCCCTGGGCTCCAGTCCTGTCTCTCTACTGTGGGGCTTTGGACAAGAGGCTGGCCCTGTCCGGGAGCGTTAGTTTCTGGGAAAGAGCAGGCTGTGGTAGGGATTGAATGAGATGGTGTCTGTGCAGTTCCTAGCGCAGTGGCCGGGTGCTCAGAAGCTTCCTGGAGCCCAGGTTGCTGTCACTTCGTTCTTCCATCACTGCCCTTCTCTCTCCACAGCCAGGAAAACTCCACACTCTATGTCAGTTTCACCCCCAAAGGCCCCAAGATCCACCAAGTCAAGCACATCTACCAGGTATGAACCCCAATGTGGAAAGTCCTTATAGGTCACACATTCATTCCTTATCCTGGGGACTGAGGATGCAGGCACCAAGTAGACACAGTCCTCATCCTAGCTGTCCACCTGTTCAATAATCCTTTCTCTAGAGCGTCACAGCCTCCACTTATAGGCTTCCAGCAGCAGCATATGCTAACTCCTTTCTGCCACTGGATTCATTATTTCAAGAATCACAGGGCTTGAGAGCAAGGGGGATGCTGAGAGAGAACCTACTTTTTCATACTCACATTGAATGAGCTGCTATTCTTTGCTCTGTTACCCAGGCTTGAGTGCAGTGGTGGGATCTCGGCTCACTGCAAACTCTGCCTCCTAAGTTCAAGCAATTCTCGTCTCAGCCTCCCAAGTAGTTGAGGTTACAGGCATCCACCACCATGCCCAGCTACTTTTTGTATTTTCTATAAAGACAGAGTTTCGCCATGTGGGCAAGGCTGGTCTGGAACTCCTAACTTCAAGTGATCCACCCACCTCAGCCTCCCAAAGTACTGGGACTACAGGCATGAGCCATTGCGCCCGGCCTATTCTAAGTTAGGTATTTAGCTAGGTGCTGGCACCCTGCCCAGTCTCTAAACCCAGGTTCTGTGCCTGGTGCTTTATTTTTATTTTTACTTTTTTTTTTTTTTTTTCCAGACAGAGTCTTGCTCTGTCACCCAGGCTGGAGTGCAGTGGCGTAATCTCAGCTCACTGCAACCTCTGCCTCCTGGATTCAAGCGATTCTCCTGCCTCAGCCTCCTGAGTAGCTGGGATTACAGGTGCACACCACCACACCCGGCTAACGTTTGTATTTTTGGTAGAGACAGGGTTTCACTGTGTTGGCCAGGCTGGTCTCAAACTCCTGACCTCAAGAAATCCACCCACCTCGGCCTCCCAAAGTGCTGGGATTACAGGCATGAGCCACTGTGCCCGGCCTCGTCTCAACACATTCTAAACCAAATTTGCTGTCTTCCCCTAAGCCAGCATCTCCTCTGGCTTGCATGGAATCTTTTGAAAGCACCCTCTCTTCCTCAAGGAAAACTTATGTGTCTGGGTGAATTTCTCCTCCCTTCTGCCTTGTCCCACTGCCTCCCAGAGTCTGGTTGTCTGTGTCCTTTTTCTGCTACTGCCCAGACCCAGTTCCTCACCTTCTTGCAACTGGACTATAGAGAGAGGCTCCCAACGTGGGCCATGACCCGCCTCTCCCAGCCTCTTTCCAGCTCATGCCTGCAGGGGATGGACCTCCCTGGAGCCACTCTCTTCCTCTGCCATCTTCCGTGACTTCCCACTGCCTCCTTGATGCTGCTCCAACTCCTCACTCTCAAGCCTTCCAGGCCCCCATAGTCTGATCTTGGGCTTCCTTTCCAGCCTCAGCTCCCGTTCTCCTTCCCAGGCACCCTCCCTCCAGCCACATCACTCTCATCTGGAGTCATCCTGGCTCCCTGCATGTCTCTTCCTGGATGCCCTCTCCCACCTTCATCTGTTAAAATCCTGTCCATCTGGTCGGGCGTGGTGGTTCACACCTGTAACCCCAGCACTTTGGGAGGCCCAGGTGGGCGGATCACCTGAGGTCAGGAGTTCAAGACCAGCCTGGCCAACATGGTGAAACCCTGTCTCTACTAAAAATGCAAAAATTAGCTAGGCGTGGTGGTGTGTGCCTGTAATCCCAGCTACTGGGGAGGCTGAGGCAGGAGAATCGCTTGAACCTGGGAGGTGGAGGTTGCAGTGAGCTGTGATCACGTCACCACACTCCAGCCTGGGTGACAGAGTGAGACTCTGTCAAAAATAAAAATAAAAATAAAAATCCTGTCCATCTTTCACAGTCAAATTCAAATCCTGCCCCTGACATTTGGCCTTTTTAATTTAACTGGTATTTCAAGTGTCCACAAATGTTTGTTGAATGAATAAATGATAGAATCCTTCTAATTTGACACACATTTTCCTGCTTCCTAAGATATTGTTAGTGCCACTTCTGTGTCACTTTCTTATACATATCTGGGTCTCCCAGCCTTAACACAGGTAGCTCTTTTTTTAACAAAAGGTGCTCAGAATTTTTTTTTTTTTTTTCACCCAGGTTGGAGTGCAGTAGTGTGATTTCGGCTCACTGCAACCTTTGCCTCCTGGGTTTAAGCAATTCTCCTGCCTCAGCCTCTGAAGTACCCAGCACTATATGATTGCGCCACCACGTCTGGCTAATTTTTGTATTTTTAGTAAAGACAGGGTTTTTCACCATCTTGGTCAGGCTGGTCTCAAACTCCTGACCTCAAGTGATCCGCCCACGTTGGCCTCTCAAAGTGCTGAGATTACAGGTGTGAGTCACCACACTAGGCACCGTGTCAAGCAGTAGGAGATTGGAAGTGGCGTAAGAATGGCTCCTGTCCTCAGGGAGCTCATGGTCTAGTGGAGATGCAGACATCCAAGCAGATCCTTCGCTGTCCTGCTGGGGACACAGAGGACTCTGTGGGACCCCAGTAAGGGGAGCTGCCCTGTCCTTGGGAAGTCAGCGAATCCTTCAGAGATAATATTAGAGCAGAATGTTGCACGGTGTGTGAAAGCGCACTGGGTGGAGAAAGCTGGAAGAGCATGGAAGCCACACTGCAAGGCCCTGATGATGGAAGCTGGCCACGCCCAGTCACTGGACACTGCCTAACCACCAAGGGCCCTGGGGACTCAGCTGATAAGGACTGGAAGAGGCATGCAAGGGCACACAGGGTCTGGGTAGCAGCTGGGGTGGCTGGCATTTAGGGCTCTGCATCCCTTGTCCTCTGTGCCAGGTGAGGATCCAGCCTTCCATCCATGACCACAACATCCCCACCCTGGAAGCCGTGGTTGGGGTGCCACAGCCTCCCAGCGAGGGGCCCATCACACAACAGTGGAGCGTGCAGATGGTGAGTGCTGCCTGGAGAGGGAGGGGCTGCCCTCCCCAGGTCTTGGGGGTGAGTGCATTTGAGGGTACAGAGGGCAGGGCTTGGCCAGGTGCGGTGGCTCTGCCTCCCAAATCCCAGCACTTTGGGAGGCCAAAGTGGGAGAATCGATTGAGGCCAGGATTTTGAGACCAGCCTGGGCAACACAGCAAGACCCCAGTCTCTACGAACAAATTTTAAAATTAGCCAGGCATGCATGGCGGCCCGTGCCTGTGGTCCCAGCTACTCAGGAGGCAGAGGCCGGAGGATCACTTGAGCCCAGGAGTTTCAGTTTGCAGTGAACTATGATCACACCACTGCACTCCAGCCTCGGCGACAGAACAAGACCCTGTCTCTAAAAAGGAAAAGAGAAATTCAAGGGGGGCAAGGCTGGGTGTGTGGGGAGTGAGGATGGATTAATTCAGATCCTGCTGGACTCAGAGATGTCTGAACTCACCCAGGACTAGGGCCAGGGTAGGGGAAAGCTGGGATGCCAGGGTCTTACCTGGGTTGTAGAGGTTCTAACTGAAGACCTGCCGCTCATTCCTAGGAGCCTCCCGTGCCCTGCCACTATGAGGATCTGGAGTGGCTGCCGGATACGGCTGAGGTATGGGCGTGTGAGCTGAGAGACGGTGGGGCTGGGCGGCACACGGTTCGGAACGAGGCCGCCCTGACCCCTCTTTCCTCATCCTCGTCAGCCTTGTCTCCCCGGAGCCCTGTTCCGCTGCCCTGTTGTCTTCAGGCAGGAAATCCTCGTCCAAGTGATCGGGACCCTGGAGCTGGTGGGAGAGATTGAGGTAGTTCCTGCTCCTAACAGATGTGGAATCGCTGTGGGGGCCCCAATGCCTGGGGCTGTTGGGGGTGGGCTCCCACCAGACAGTCTGCCTCCATTTTTCTTTTCCATCTTCATGAAATATCATCCCCTGTTTACACAGTTACAGGTGAAAGAGAACCATGATTTCTGTGAAATGTGCAATGCTGTTTTCATGGGCCTATGGATAGTTCCTATGTGTTCTTTATAGAAAAGCTTTCCTTACAACAATGGGGAGTGACATATTAGGGTGCCACAGTAGAGGCTGAGGCAGGGCTCATGCCTGTAATCCTAGCACTTCGGGAGGCTGAGGTGGGCGGATCACTTGAGGTCGGGAGTTCGAGACCAGCCTGGCCAACATGGTGAAACCCGGTCTGTACTAAAAATATAAAACTTTAGCCGGGCGTGGTGGCACATGCCTGTAATCCCAGCTACTCAAGAGGCTGAGGCATGAGAATCCCTTAAACCCGGGAGGCAGAGGTTGCAGTGAGCCAAGATGGCACCACTACACTCCAGCCTGGGTGACAGAGCAAGATTCCATCTCAAAAAAAAATTGAAAGGAAAGAATGCCACACTAGAAAGTTGAGTAGAGATGGGTGCACCCCACTGGAACCCCTTCTCTGCCCTTCCCCACTGTGTTGTGATGGGGGCAGAGGCCAGTGGGTCCTGTCCTCCTTCTCCCGGGTTCTAACGCCTTTCCCCACTCCCGCAGGCCTCCTCCATGTTCAGCCTCTGCAGCTCCCTCTCCATCTCCTTCAACAGCAGCAGGCATTTCCACCTCTATGGCAGCAACGCCTCCCTGGCCCAGGTATCTCTACCTCCTCGGAAGCCCCAGGAACAGGCAACAGAGGGAGTCCAGGAGCCCCAGGGTAGACCGAGATGTGGGACAGCTCCTGGGCTCTGTGCCAGTCAGAGCTTCCCCACTGCCAGAGCCATCAGCCTGGGAGAAGTTTCTTCTTCCCTTGGTGGGCTCACAACCCCAAAGTCACCTGAGATGTAGTGGACTTATGTGTCAAGTAAAGATCAATCAAGGCCAGGTGTGGTAGCTCACACCTGTTATCCTAGCACTTTGGGAGGTCAGGTAGGCAGATCATGTGAAGTCAGGAGTTCAAGACCAGCCTGGACAACATGGTGAAACCCCATCTCTACAAAAATACAAAAATTAGCCGGGCATGATGGTGGGTGCCTGTAACCCCAGCTTTTCGGGAGGCTAAGGTGAGAGAATCACTTGAACCTGGGAGGCAGAGGCTGCAGTGAGCTGAGATCCTGCCATTGCACTCCAGCCTGGGCAACAGAGTGAGACTTCATCTCAAAAGGATCTGTCAGAGGCAGGCATGGTGGTTCATGCCTGTACTTAGCGCTCTGGGAGGCTGAAATGGGAGGATCGTTTGAGCACAGGAGTTCAAGGCTGCAGTGAGCTATGATTATGCCACTGCACTCCAGCCTGGGCAACACAGTGAGACCCTACCTCAAAAAAAAAGAAATCAATCTGATGGCAACTTAGCAAAGGAGCTACCAAGCCAAGAGTCAGACAGTGAAGAAAGGGTGCTCTAAGCAGCGGCAGCGGCAAGTTCAGGGGCCTCTGTGGTGAGCGTGGGCAGGGCAGGTTTGAAGAGCAGAAAGTTCAGTGTGGCTGGCAGGCAGAGGGGAGGAGGGAAGATGCATCTAACAGGTAAGCAGAAGCCAGATTCTGGACAGCTTTGAATGCTGAGCTGCGTGTGATTCCAGGGAAGCCATTGAAGGCCTAGGGCTGCCTAAGGTGTGTATTGGCCAAGTCACGGCAGCGACTGCAATAGGTGATGCGTTGAAGGGTGAGGGTCTGCAGCAGGAGACTCCAGGCGGGTGATGCAGTCCGGATAGGAGGAGATGGAGAATGCCACCAGGTTCACAGGGACTTTCGGGGGTGGAAAAGGCATTTTCCGACACTCTCCTCCCCCTACCCCCAGGTTGTCATGAAGATTGATGTTGTGTATGAGAAGCAGATGCTCTACCTCTATGTGCTGAGCGGCATCGGGGGGCTTCTGCTGCTGCTGCTAATTTTCATAGTGCTGTACAAGGTGGGTGCCTCCGGGGGCCACGGGCATTGCTGAGACAGCCAGGCTGGGGAAGGGTATCTGGTGGGAGCCAGGGAGGAGAATACCAAGCCAGAGGGCATTAAAGCCAGGGAGCCTTAGCTTACTCCCTCCTTCGACAGAGAAGGCTACTGAGGTCCAAAGAACAGGTAGAGTGGCTCATACCTGTAATCCCAGCACTCTGGAGGCCGAGGCAGGTGGATCACGTGAGCCCAGGAGTTCAAGACCAGCCTGGGCAACATGGCAAGCATCCGCCTCTACAAAAAAATTTTCAAATTAGGGGGACGTGATGCCACCCACCTATAGTCCCAGCTACTCGGGAGGTTGAGGCGGGAGGATCCCTTGAGCTCAGGAGGTCAAGGCTGCAGTGAGCCATGATGATGCCACTGCGCTCCAGCCTGGGTGACACAGCGAGACCTTGTCTCACACACACAAAGAGCAAAAGAGACTTTTCCACTGTCAAGACAAGGCACCCTGGGAGAGGAAAAGGAAGTACCCCAAATATGGAGGTCCTTCTGGCTGCTGGGCACTGTCCCAGGAGGCACATGCCACAAACATGCTCCCTGCCATTGTGGCGCTCGCAGTCTAAGAGGGGACACAGGCAGGAGCAAGCAGAATGAGGGTTGCAAAGGGTCTGTGTGGCCTGGGGCTTAGAACCCAGGAGACTCACTTAGGCTGTGAAGGCCTGGCAGGCCTCCCAGGAAAGGTGGCATTTGAGGTGGGATTTGAAGGCTAAGCAGAAGTTACAGATTAAAAGGCCGGGCACGGTGGCTCAAGCCTGTAATCCCAGCACTTTGGGAGGCCGAGACTGGCGGATCACGAGGTCAGGAGATCGAGACTATCCTGGCTAACACGGTGAAACCCCGTCTCTACTAAAAAATACAAAAAAACTAGCCGGGCGAGGTGGCGGGCGCCTGTAGTCCCAGCTACT